AAAATGCCTCATCATTTCCTCTTGTGTAATCTTGAAGCTTCTGAATGAACCTCTGTTAAGAATGTGGATATGCATCTGAGGAAGGTCAGTGTCCAGTCTCATTTTTGGCCAAAGACCTTGTCTCACCACACTGTAGTACTGGTGAGAAAAGAGAGGGCACTTGATTTCTCCAGGCATCGTGTGACCTGCATGTGTTCTCAGAAGGCAGGATAGTTAATAGCTAAGAGCACAGCCTTAGCTATTAACCCTATTGTCAGATGGGTTCAGAATCCAGCAGAACCTCTTTCTGGTTAGAGAGTCCTTTCTGAGCCTCAGTTTTCTCATCTTTAAGCTGGGACTAATTGTACCTACCTTGCAGGTGATTCTAGGGATTAAATAACAATGTGTAATTTTTTTTCATTTGATTTATTTATTCATCTAGACAATCAAATCAAGGATATTACCATATATATCAACAATGTATAAAAATTTTTTAGCCTCAGTTTTCCCATATGAAATTAAATTAGAAATATCTTCATCCCTGAGATGTTTGAAGACAAATGAAAAAATATGATAAAAATACCTGACAGGTAGCCAATGGCCAATAAATTATGGCTTTTGTCATAACTGTTCTGAGACATGAGAGAGACAGATAATTTCCAAAATGTTGCCTTCTTTACTCAGCAAAATGGCAATGAAACTTGCAGATATGCCAACAAGCTAGTACTTTAAAGGGTGCTTGATTATAATTGTTATCTCCCTTTGTCATTTGTAGTCTATTTCATTTGACAGTCTTAAACACATCATTGAATACATGTTGACTGTTTCTATGCATGAAAAGAGTCCTGAAAACTAAACATAATGGACTTTTCTCTACATTGAAGAAGCTGGATAAAACCCATTTGCAAACTTAACTTCTTGGTTAGCCTATGGTTCTTTTTCTTTTTCTTTTTTTCTTTTGAGAGATATTTTTGCTATAGGGCACAGGCACTCACCAGAGCACATGGAGAGACAGAGATAGAAAGCGAGAAATCACCCTTTGGGGGAATGGCCACGCTACAATCCATTTTCCTTTGTCTCAGGATTTTGGGCATGCACATACACACACGTAGCATGAGTTCTAAGCCTCTGGGTCTGGGACTCAAACTACGGTTGATTACATGGGAAGTGGGAGTCCAGTGACATAACTACTATGCCGTCTGCTGGTCCCCCTTTGTTTCTTTTACTATATTATGTTGATTGTAAATAATAACCTAGGTCTAATATCAAAGAAGACCCAGTAGAAAGGAAACCATCACTTACTGGATGCAGTCACAGCTCAGACCCTGCACTAGGAACACTTTCTACGTGTCCTCATTTAGCTGAATAACAGCCCCAGAGGTACTAATTTTGCCAGAAAGAATACACAAGTTACCCATTCACATGGCTAGCAAGCAAATCTGAGACTCAAACACAGCACTGTTCAATTCCAAAACTCACATTCTTATTTTTTCTTATTTCCTGATATAATTGGTGGAGGTGAAGATAGCATGTATGTGTATGAAATATGTGTGTGTGTGTGTGTGTGTCTGTACATGGAACTTTATAAATGTCACAATCTTCATATAGATACTAGATTCACTGTTGTTGTGTCCCTCATCCAATCTCCATCTTGACCTGCTCTTGCACTTGTAGAAACTGAAGAAGTTGTGGCACCCACCAGCCCTTACTACTCTTCCCCATGCTTTGATGACTGGATAATAATATCCATATTCTTCCCATCAGGCTTCCAGTCTTGTCATATGCTCAGACCACTGATGTACTCCTGTCTCATCACCATACGTGATGTCTGAGAGCAAGTATTGTCTGATGAATGACTTAATGGATGAATGAGGGAGTGAAAGATAGTGGCTGGTATCAGGTAATCTATATCCTGACTTTAGCTTGTCCTTCTGGATTTGTGATATTCGCTTCTAACAGAGTTCCAAACCTCTCTTTTGTTCTACTTTTCTAATTTACCTGAGCCCCAACTATGTGGAAGGCAAATTTGAGTATTCAGATTTTAGGATGCTATTGAATAGTTTCATAGAAATGGAGACATAGGGATTTGATTAGGTCTTTCTGAAGGGATGTGAATGTTGTCTTTAAAATGGAAAGGTCAGGGACCAGCAGATGGCATAATGGTTATGTAATTGGACTCCCATGTAGTTGACTGTGGTTTGAATCCTGGACACGGCAGCTTAAAACTCATGCTATGTATGTGTGCGTGCGTGCCCAAAACTTTGAGAGGAGAATGAAGGAGAGGGGATTGCAATGTAGCCATCCTCCCCGAGGGGGTGATTTCTCACTTTCTGTCTCTCTGTCTCTCTCTGTCTCTCCAGCAAGTGCATGTGCCCTACAGCAAAAATCTCTCTTAAAAAAACAAATGGAAAGGTTAAATAATGCTAGGTGAAGTAAGTCAGGCTTTGAAAGACAAATAGTCTGTCCTCACATAACAAATACCATGTGTCCTCACTCATTGGCAGAAGCTGAAAGACTCAGTTGAGAGCAGAGTGTGTAATGGTGAGTACCAGATGTTGGAAAGGCACAGTAGGGGGAGAATCTGGTAAACAAATACATGAGTGCATGTAAACAAGTGATGCGGGTTATAGAATAGTATAGCAAGTAACAGAGGTTGGTGACAATTTAATATATATCTCCAAATAATCAGTAGTTCAAATGTGGAATGTGGACAACACAAAGAAACAATAAATGTTGGAGATAGTATAATAAATATTGCTGTTCCTTTTTTTAAGTAATATTTTTCTTTATTTATGATAAAGCACTTCTGTGTGCACATTAGAGAGAAAAAGAGAGAGAAATGAACACCGTACTCAGGGTCTGGGTATGCCAGCAACTCCTTCCTCTAGTCCTCCAGGCTTTCAGATCCTAGACACTCACGTAAGTGTCTTAAAGAATTCAGACTGACTGGTCTGGGGATTTGAACCATGGTCACTATGTGAGACTTGGCTTCTCTTAAGCATCACATTACCACTGTACCACAGTACCAGCCCAATTATTTCCTTGATCTGATTATTATATACTATAGACATGCTTTGAATATCCACAATATACCCCACAAAGACATAAAACTATTATATTGGGACCAGCAGATGGCATAATGGTTGCATCACTGGACTCTCACATAGTCAACTACAATTTGAATACTGGGCCCTGTCGCTTAAAACACATGGCAACCACATGTGTGTGTGTGCCCAAGATCCCAAGAGGAGAATGGAGGAGAAAGTATTGTGGCCTGGCCATCCCCCGAGAGGTGATTTCTTGCTTTGTGTCTGTCTCTCCAGCAAGCACACACACCCTATAGCAAAAAGCTCTCCAAATAAAACAAAATAAAACAAAAAACTATTATATGTAAATCAGAAATTATAATAAAAAATACTTTAAAGGAAAGGTCCAAAATCCAGTAAGAATAGTTTTGGGATTTTTGTTCGCTTTGATACTAGCTGTCAATATCTTGTCCAGGATTAAAAAAAGAAATTTTCTATATATTTTTGTTTGTTTCTATTTTATTTTTGTTATACACTAGGGCTTGGGACTAACAATCTAACCACTATGTATTACGTTTCTGTGTCCAAGGATCTAATGGTAAGGTGTCATCATGGATAAGGGTAGGATTAATACACTTTCGGTTCTTTTTTTATGGGTTCTTTTTTTGGAGAGGTTTTAACTATAGGGTGCCTGTGCTCGCCAGAAAGACAGAGATAGAGAAATAGAAAGCGAGAAAGCACCCTCCCATGGGAGATGGCCATGCTGCAATCCCTTCTCCTCCATTCTCTTCTTGGGATCTTGGGCATGCACGCTCATGCACTGGGCATGGGTTTAAGCCACCGGGTCCGGCACTTGAACCGTAGTCGACTACATGGGAGTCCAGCGACATAGCCATTACACTAACTGCTGGTCCCAGGGTTCTTCACCAAATAGCACACCACTCTGGCCTTCTTATCTCCCTCCACAGTGAGCTCTCATGTCAATAGCACTTTTCAGTGTTCCATATGATCATTTGGAATCCAAGAGAGAACCATAGTCCCCATTCTTAGATTCCCATCTCATGTCTGTAGAGATGATGTTAAGACTCTGTGAGTCTTCTGAGGGGAAGGAGTTAAAGCATTGATCCTATTGACTGAATGGTTTCGGTCTTAAAGTGATTAATATGTTTTACTCATTTTGACTTGTCCTGTTTACACTCTACACATTTTTTTTCTCACAGATATCCAGGTTTGAAGACATAGATAATACTATTAGAGAAATCAATTAGTCCTACTAGTGCTCTCATGATGTGATTCCTGGAAATTTCTGATTCATCTAATCTTGGCCAGCACTAAATCCATGAATTTCCCAAGGTTCCTTGATGTTCAAGATCACCCTTCCCAATAACTATGCTAAATGAGAAAGATGGTAAGTCTGAGCAGAATGCTGGGTACACAGAAAAGCCCTTAACTGCAACTGTAATCTGACATCACGCCATTTACATAGGAGATTCTCTACAGTCATTTGCTTTGCTCTAGATTAGTAATTTTAGTCCCTTCTCTCTGAATGATCGAACATGCCTAATTCCCATTTTAATCATATTACCAGGATGAACAAAAGTAGCTCTAGATTGATTTATGCATTGTTGCTGCTAAAGAATAAAACTCAGTCAATGTGATGGTTAACCTGTCTTGAGGGTAGCTACAAGCTGTAGTCATTGGTGTTTCTGCAGACTCTGAGATATTTTATATTCTGATGAGGAATAAAAATTCCTGCCTCAAATGGCTTCTATCACACCAAGATCTTGCAACAATAACACTACTGATTCGGACATTAATCTTAAGTATCCAGGGAGCCCTAAAACGTTGTAACCCACTAGCTAGGGCCATAATAATTGCCACGTAAATCCCCTCTATAATGTGGCCCTTATTATGACCAGCTAGCCATAAATCACTTGCACTTAAATCATCCCGATTGAACAGAGCCTTGTTAAAAGCACTATCACCTACACATACCTTTGCTTCTTTTCATTAACCTGTTATCCTCTTTACAAGTGGGATTCTTCATCCACTCCCTTCTTTCAGATTAGCAATGCCCTGTTAAGTAAACGAACATGAAATTTCAAAGGGAAACAAGAGCAATAATCATTACCAGTTGCCTTGTTAAGCATTACGAAAATGCCTGCAATTCACAAGGAAAAATCCATGCTGTTCTTTGCAGGCATTGAAGCCTTTCTAGCTGGTTAAATATGTAACTTCCAGGCCAGGCACCACTCTGTGCCAACAATTAGTCTCTTGCACCATGAAAAGTGTTAGAGATGAACTTTGGTCTTCTCAACATCCATTTGGAACATTCGGTGACAATATTAACTTTGAAGTTAGATCGGCCTGCTCAGCCTCACCACTCACCAGCTTAGGTAGGTTATTTATTTCTTTATTCCTTCAATCAGTTTGCAAATATTTTGTGTCATACACCTGCAAGGCACTGCCTGTTACCAACAAATTAGAAAAGTAATGGGAAACCAGAGGAATAACTTAACTAGACTTGTAAGGTCCAGGAGGGCTTCCCAGAGGAAGCGATGAAGAGTATCAACTTAGCGATGAAGAGTATCAACTCAGTTTTCTCATCTGTGAACTAAAAGTCATTATAACTTTAAATGAGATGATGTTCCAACTGCATGGGACTCAGACATAGCATTTGACAAATTTTATCAAATTTTTCTGGCTATAGAAATTATATTTTTTCATTTTGTACAATTAGAAAGGGACATAAAGATATTAAAAAGGAAAAAAGTAAAAACATTAATCTCTCATTTCCTAAAGATTTTTACTCTCTATAAATATTTGTAACATATATCTTTTAAATATTTTGGTTCCTTTAAATAGTTACATTTTAGGTTTTATCACTTTTACATAGTTTGAACTTTAATTTTTTTTACAGTTAGCTGTGTATCATAAGTTTCCTCCCACATCATCAAACAGGTATTGTAAATATTATTTTCATTGTCTATATATTGCATCACATGGATTTATTATAATTTAGTATTTACATATTTTGAGTAATTTAGACTGTTTTCAATTTGTAGCCATTATAAATCCAGTTTTGACCATCGTTAGTCATGCTTAAATGAAAACCTTTGTGCCTAGTTTTGATTATTTTCTCAGACTACCATCCCAGAATTGGAATGACTGGGTCATAGGCTATGAATATTTTTAAGACTCTACAGTCATATTCTCAGGTTGTCCTCCAAAGGGGTGATAACAATTTGTCTTCTGATGGGAGTGAATGCCTGGCCTATATGTCCATACATGCTAATTCAAAGTTACTATTACTATTAGTCTTATTACCATGTGCCCTCAAGGACGTATTGAGTTTAAAACATCCAACTTCTATCCTTTTTTATTCTTTCGTTATGCACTTAAAAGCTATACCTAGATATTATTATTAGTGGGAAAAGAAAGACAAACAAAGCAAAACAAAAGCATGAATAAGACCACAAAGATAACCACTCAATATTTCGATGTATTTCTAATATAGAGATGTATTTTCCTCATAAATATTTTATGTTTTAAGTCTGATTCTAAATTTACATTTCTGCATGTCATTACTATCCTTTTTATAAAATTTTCTAAATTATGATAACATATGTGTGCCTGTACTTGAGACTGAGAGAGAGAGAGATGAACACTCTTCCCAGGGTTTGGTCTGATCCCTTTTTTCCAGTCCTTTTGCCCATTGGCCTTGGGCAATTAATTGCATGTGTGCCCAGTGCATTTTTGGCTCGCCAGGCCAGGGAACTGAATCGCAGTCATCACTGTAGTATCAACCTTCTTTAGAACAGTCCATGAATGCTATACTATGGAACCAGACCAACATTCTGTTTCTGATGTCCTTATTATTTTTTTTTTTTAGAGGATTTTTTTTTTTTTGCTTTAGGGCGCATACACTCGCTAGGGAGACAGTTAGTGGGAAAAGAAAGACAAACAAAGCAAAACAAAAGCATGAATAAGACCACAAAGATAACCACTCAATATTTCGATGTATTTCTAATATAGAGATGTATTTTCCTCATAAATATTTTATGTTTTAAGTCTGATTCTAAATTTACATTTCTGCATGTCATTACTATCCTTTTTATAAAATTTTCTAAATTATGATAACATATGTGTGCCTGTACTTGAGACTGAGAGAGAGAGAGATGAACACTCTTCCCAGGGTTTGGTCTGATCCCTTTTTTCCAGTCCTTTTGCCCATTGGCCTTGGGCAATTAATTGCATGTGTGCCCAGTGCATTTTTGGCTCGCCAGGCCAGGGAACTGAATCGCAGTCATCACTGTAGTATCAACCTTCTTTAGAACAGTCCATGAATGCTATACTATGGAACCAGACCAACATTCTGTTTCTGATGTCCTTATTATTTTTTTTTTTTAGAGGATTTTTTTTTTTTTGCTATAGGGCGCATACACTCGCTAGGCAGACAGAGAGAGACAGAGAGACAGAAAGCGAGAAATCACCTCCAAGTGGGGATGGCCATGCCACAATCCCTTCTCCTCCATTTTCCTCTTGGGATCTTGGGCACGCACACACACGCGCCCAGCGTGATTTTTAAGCCACCGGGGTCCAGGACGTGAACCGCGGTTGACTACATGGGAGTCCAGTGACATAGCCATTACGCTAACTGCTGGTCCCTCTGATGTCCTTTTAAAGAATTACCTCCCTAACCATTGTTTTGCTCAATCTATTTTAACTTTCTCCCCTAGCTATGCAGATGTTAGAACTAACATCTTTATCAAATTCTTTAGAGGAGGATTTCTCCACCTCAGCACATTTGGGCCTTGTTAATTCTTTCCTGGTGAGGAGTTCTCTTATGCGTTGCAGGTGTTCAGCAACACCCGTCTCTTCTACTGTCATGACGCCAGCAGCGTCCTCCTCCTTACCCCAGGGTCTCCAGACATTATCCACATCCCCTGAGGGGCAAACTCACCTCAGATAGACCCACCACCCCTGGCTGCTTGTGTTGCCTCAGTTCGTCTGGACTTTCACATCCCTGGAAATGGCACCTTAAGCCAATTGACGTGTCTCTTTCCAATTCCGGTCAACTCTTTCTGAATAATTTTTTTCCTTGGATGCTTCTAAATCTTTCCGTATTTTCTAGATACTATCCTAGCTTTATACATGCATACACACATATACACACAGAGGCATTTTGCCTTTTACATATATCTTCTAAATCCTAGAAGACTGCTAACATCTCCAAGCTAAAAAGTCTTTTTATTATTTTTTCCCATATTTGCCAGATAGGCTGGTAATCTCTCTCTATTGAATGTATGTATCTCTCTTTATCTACTAACTTATCATTTGCATGGCATCAAGAACTGGCTTATCACTTAAAGAATCAGTTGAGCAATGCAGGACAGAGCAAAGCAGGGTTTGTCTGCCTCTATCTCACTACAGACTATGAATGCACGAAATTGCCTTTACTCAAACATGTTTGGTCTACTAAAATGGAAATTTCATGTTTTAAAACCTTGGGAAGAGAGAGAGAAAAGTGAGAAAGAGAGAGCGAGCAGAAAAGTGAGAAAGCATCCACCATGGGGCATGGTCAAATTTACAGTCCCTTCTCCTCCATTTCTCCCTCCTTTCAGGATTTTGGGCATACATGCACATGTGCCTAGCATGTTTTTTGAAGCCACTAGGTCCAGGACTCAAACTGCAGTTGGCCACATGGAATCCAATCGCCTTAACTACTACACAATGGGCTGGCCTCTGTTTCTCTTTTAAAGTTTATTTCTATTGTGAGAGAGAAAGATACGTATTTATACACACACAGAGAAAAAGAAGCACTCCAACAGGACCCTCACACTGTTATCTACCTACAGCCTGGATCATGGGCAGGCTCGCGTGCCTGGTGTGTGTACAGGGAGACCTTGGAACAGGGACCTGGGACCTTCCCACATAGATCCAGTTGCGTTACTGCTGCGCCACCCTCTGATCCCTCAAATATACTTATTTTTTTTTGAGACTGCATCTCACGAGTGACTCATATTTCATTACTCTCAACTTAAGATTTTTTTTTTTGTACCTCCCCAAATTTGGGTGTATATGATTAATCTAAGGAGAGTCATCTGACACATTACTAATAACCTGAGAGAAACTAGTTTTAAAAAGTATAAAAATATAGAGTGATGGAGTAGGAAAGTACTAAAGAAACCATTTGGTTTCACATCCTTCTTTTACAGATGGGGGAACCAAGACCCAGGGGTAAAATATTTGCCCAAGTTTCACAGCGACTTACTCCTAGTAAGATTCCACCAGAAGTCTGATTCTCAGACTGCTGATCTGTCCAAGGACACCAAGAGGAACAATGAGAGGGAGGGTTAAGGAAAAAATCTATTTACACACATATGTGCATACTACACACACATGCACACACACACACACACACACACACACACATCTTGTTAGCATAGATGGAGTGCTAGTATAAAGCAAGGAAATACAGATGGAATAGTAGACACAACCAGTAATGATTATAGGCACAATCTTTGCAATGACATTTATAGAGTATTGATGAGAAGTTCTGGTAATTAGCCAATACTGTTTTGATGACAGCCACCAAAGACAATAAAATATGTCTGACTGGATGAATCTGGATAAGAAAAAGAAGAGACCCATTGCAGGTCTCTACAACTAAGTATCTGGGTTCTTCCTTTCAAGGCTATCACTTTAGTCCTATTTATTGGCCACAGGGTTATTGCTACTTTAGACCTCTGAGAAAATGAATCCCAGTCACAGGAGCCTTGTTCATTTTTCCATTTCTTCTATTTCTCTCGTTGTCTTTCTCTGACTGGTGAAAAATGTATTTCATTAGGAAAAGAGAATGTTTCCTAAAATGATTATTTGATATAATGAACCATAAATTCACTACCATCAGGAAGTTTTAAAAATAATACTAATAATTAAAATAAAAAATTCCCAGTATTTTAGCTAGTTTCAGCTTCCCAAATACCTACTGAGCTCAATAAATGAACGATATACATAAACAACGTGTATATTTCTCAAGACCCTGGTGATTACACTTA